AGCTGGGGTGGGGGGGATGGTCCCTGGGCATCAGATGGGAGCTGAGGTGGGGGGCCGGGTAGGGCAGTTCCTGGGCAGCAGGTGGAGCTCGGGGTAGCAGTCCCTCGGAGAAGTGGTGAAATCAGCCTTAGAAAAAGGTGGACTGGCCCCACATAACCTCACTTAAGAGCAAGCCTGGGAAGGTCACACTGTTCACGTGGCGGAACTCCTCCCTGAGCAACGCTCACTAATGTACATGGAACCCTAACCAGCTGGCACCCCTGGGGTGAAACCAGTGTCTGGCGCAGGGACAGGCTAATGCCACCCACGAGAAGAAAAAAATCAATTAATGGAAATATACCCAGAAACACACCGGCATTAGGGTTAGTAGACACAGACACTGAAAGAATTATCATAACTGCATTCCGTGTGTTCGAGAAAATTTGAACATGTTAGTAGAGATCCAGGAAATAGGAAAGAACCAAATGGGGCTATTCAAGATGAAAAGACAATGTCTGAGATGAACATTATACTGGATGCAATTACCAGCAGATTAAAAGCCACAGAAGAGAAGGGGGGTGACGTTTTAGAAATGGCAACAGAACTGATCCACAGTGAAGCACAAGCAAGAAGACTGAGGAACATCCATGCTGCGTGGGTGAGCAGTGGGGAAACCCTCAGACCGGTGCACACAGGGCTGGAGTCCCTGCAGGGAGGAGAGAGAAGGGGCATTAGTAAAAAATAACATCCCAACATTTTCCAAATCAGATAAAAACTTTAAGCCAGTGGTTCTCAACTGGGGGCAGTTGTGTCCTCAAGGATGTGAGCAGTGAACGCCTGGTGACTGCTGCCGGTCACACCAGAGGGCACGGATCTCGGGGCTCGAGGCCAGGGATGCCGCCAAACATTCTAAAATGTGAGTGAAATGTGAAGACAGCCCCTGCCATGCCTCCCAGGGCTGAGGCTGAGGGACTCTGCTCTAAACCCAGACACAAGGAGGTCAGTCAGCTCCCAGCAGGCTCGGGGGGGT